AACTACAGGATAAAATGTTATTCTAGCTTTACAGTACATCTTGTCTTTGATCTGAAGAGGGTGCACTCTGGTTTCAAACTGGTTTCAGGCTGGTTATAGTCTGGTTTGAGACTAGTTTCAAACTGGTTTCAGGCTGGTGTTTGTCTGGTTTCAAACTGGTTTCAGATTGATCTTTTTAGTCTGGTTTCAATCATGTTTCAGACTGGATTCAGTCAAGTTTCAAACAGGTTTCAGTCTGGTTCCAGACTTGTTTCAGTCTAGTTTCAAACTGGTTTCAAACTGGTTTCAATCAGGTTTCAGTCTGGCTTCAGACTGGTTTCAGAGTAAATTCAGTCCAGTTTTAAATTGGTTTTAGTCTGATTTCAAACTGTTTTCATTCTGGTTTCAAACAGATTTAAGTATGGTTTCAAACAGGTTTTACTCTGGTTTCAGACTGGTATTAGTCTGGTTTCAGTCTGATTTGAGGCTTTTTTCAGATTGGCTTCAGACTGGTTTTAGACTTCTTTCAGACCAGTTTCAGATTGGTTTCTGACCAGTTTCAGACTGGTTTTAGGCTTCTTTCAGATCAGCTTCAGACTGGGTTCAGATTGGTTTTAGACTTCTTTGAGACCAGTTTCAGATTGGTTTCTGACCGGTTTCAGACTGGTTTTAGTCTGGTTTCAGTCTGATTTTAGGCTTCTTTCAGATCAATTTCAGACTGGGTTCAGACTGGTTTTAGACTCCTTTCAGACCAGTTTCAGACCGGTTTCAGACTGGTTTCAGGGGACTACAAACGCATGTCCATGTCTTCAGTGCAGTTCTCTCCTCCCCCTGTGGAAGACATCACCTGTGAGAGGTAGGCTGCAGGCTGAGCTGCATCGTCAGACAAACCAGAAGTGTTTTGGTACAGAAGAGGAACCCTGAAAGTTCAGAACATTATCTGTGGCAGGTCTCTGTACGGACGTCCTGACAGTTCATCCCAGCAGGTGGAGGGTCATCCCACATTGACGCCAAGGCCAACCTGCAGCTTGTCCCCTCTGTGATTCACAAAAGCCCCCATGATCAGGGTGGCTGGCAGCGGCGTTAGACGCTTCTCCAACACGCCTCCTATGATGCACCGGCTGTTTATCATCCCTGGATGCAGGAGAAACAAACAAACAAAATAACAATGGATGTTTTTTCAGATCTCTTTGACCATGACAGAAGAATAAAATATGTAAAAATAAAAATAAATGTATCACCTCGAAACACCATGTTGGCCTCGGGGAGCTCCATCTGGTACCCAAAGGAGGTGGTGGTCTCCTGTGTTCTGGTACTGGCTTCAAACTCCACTCCCACCTGGATCTATCCAACAAACATGCACACAAACTCACATCCAGATTATGCATAAAAATAATTAATTTAGCCCATTTAACCACACTAGCCACACCTGTTTGTTTGCTCTGTGGTAGTAGCTGGCGTGGGCGCCTCCTCTGCCGGCGTTCAGGGTCACAACCCAGTTCGGTCCTGCAGGGTGACACAAACAGGATCAGAGCTGCTGACTGAAGCAAAGTTTCAAAGATATTCAAAAATAAAATTATTTCTCACGAGAGTACTGCCCAGCTAAAGTCAGAATCCCCCCTTCCTCTGCTCGTCCCCGATGATAGACCAGTTCCCCGCCCAGAACCAGTCCTGAAGACACACTCTGCAGGAAGTGAGCCACGAGGATGACTGCAGAGGAAAATAACACAAATACAGAACAAAAAGTGTCTGAGATAAAATACTGAAAAGTAAAAAAAACAACAACATTGGATATGAAATTAACAGATTTAAACCAGGTGTGCACGATATATCGAGTATACTCAACATATTATGACTTTTACCAGAAAAGATATCGTAATTTACTACATTGCATCTATTAAGTGTCCATTTTGACTGTAATGTTTAAGCATCTATACCTACTGGGTTAATAACTATTTTAGTTTAGAACAAGCTTATGATTAAAGCTCTCTGGTTAAAAACAAGACAACTTTTGCTACTTATCCCTCAATTCAGATAAAAAAAAATTATTTTTTTAAATGAAATTAAAAACAAATTAAAAAGAATGACGGATTCATATCACAATGGTGACATTTTATGTGTTTTCAAATTAAATTAAATAGTTATACAATAATTTAGAGGAGCTTTCAGTAAGTCAAGAAATATTTAAAGTTTCATAATGTTTTTCTTTCAGCTGCTCCTTCTGCAGGGGTCGCTACAGCGAGTGAACTCACATGAAAGATTTAGAAATTGTTTTACAATCTGAGCTCAAACCTGTGACTTCAGGATCATGAGACTGCAGCACTGACCACCGAGCTACCACATATAAAATATTGTAATTTAAAAAAAAAAACAATTATAAATCATAGTAGTATTTGTAGGTCTAAATGCTCATCAGTTATTTGGTTTTTGTATTGCTCCAACACATTAATGCACCTACTCAGGATCTTGGGAGCAGCTCACCTGACTCTCTGAGGACGTCAGGGTTGGCCACCGTCACGGCAGCAGTGAAGTCGCTGCCTCTGTACTCGGTTTCAAACTGCCACGTTACAAACTGAGACTGCTGGGTCTGGAACCAGCAGAACTGTGTTAGTTTGAGCAGACTGAAATGAGATAAAGCAGCACACACTGAGGCCTCACCTGGAACACAGTCCTGGCTCGGACATGCTCAGAGAGGTGCAGCAGAGCGTGAGCGTTCAGACTACCTGAAGAGTCCATTTCACCGATCAACGCCGGGGCATCCTGAAACGTTTGAAGCAATAACACAGACTTGTTTATCCTTCCACACTGAAGAAAAAGACTTAAGTGTATTAATGAAGTTGGTGATAATCATCTTTAGTCAACACCTTGTCCTTGCTGTAGTCGTCAGACTGCAGGTGCTCCACGTGGAACCGGTAGTACGAAGGACTGACAGCACTGAGGTGAAGCGCGTGACTGACCTGGAAGAAGATTTGTTTGTTAAATCAACAATAACTGAAATTTAAAACAAATCTACCTGTGTAAATAATTTGACTGGATGACTCACCTTGAAAAAGCTGCTCAAAGTTTTATTGACAATCAACTTGACGCCCTCGATCTGATGAGGAAACACATCTGAGGGGCGAGGAGAAAAAACAATGTCTCGTGTTGTACTTGCAGTTTTATGATTTTATGATGTTTTATGAATAATTGTGTTGAGAAAAACTAAAGCTAACAAAATACTTAAAGTATTTAAAATTAAAACCAATTTTGAGGGTGTTTTTTTTTTCTGGAGAGATGTCAATTTAAAACTGACCTCAAAGAGTTAAGTTAAAATTTCCTCATGACTGTTTTTAATGCTGATATCCACGAATTATTCTACATGTCTTTATGTGAAGCATCTATAGCAACAGAAAAACGTTGATGTCTGCAACCCGAGCACCAGACTGAGTGAAATGAGTGGATCGTTTCCTCTAAGCCTCTAACCTCTGTGTTTTTAAACCTGAGGTACCTTTGCAGCTCCTGTGGAGGGAGTGAAAACTGCCTGGGTTTGGCAGACGCCCATCTCTCCTGTCCCAGCGAGGTGGACTGTCCCAGTGAGCAGGATGAGCGTCCCACCGAGTCGAAGGGGGTTCTGTTGAGAAAGGCCACTTGTGATGGCCCGGACGAGAAGACAAGGCCAGAACACTGCCCATCAATGCTCCCTGCCTGCAGGACACAGATTTAATGATTAGCACACCTGCTGCCTGTACCTGCACCCCTTCAGAGACAGAATACATGATCTGCAGAAACTGAACTTAAACGTTAAGTCAGGCCCTCTGGACGTTCAAAAAACAAACAAAATTGTTTGTTTGTTTTTTGAACGTCCAGAGGGCCTGACTTAACTTTTTTAGATTTTTCTACCAGGATTATTGAGCATGCATCAGGATATGGACTTAATATACTTTTCTTTCTTGTACAGATTTAAATGCAGGCAGTCACAGATGCCAGAACCTATTGTTTTTAGGTTGGATTGTAAAACAAAATATCACATTATTTAAAACAATTAATGCTATTTTATGAAGGATGGGAAATGGTGCATTTTCATGTGCAGGTGCAGCACTTACGTTAGCTAGTTTGACCTTAGCATCAACCAAAAAATAAACAAATATTATATATATCGTTTTATAATGAACTGAAGATACCTTAAAATCCAAAGCGGAACCCGCGCATTAGAATCCCTTTCAGGGTTATGTTTTATTTTTAATAAACTCAGTAAACGAAGTGATGCTGAGATGAACTGATGCTGTGGACTGATTCTCCAGGATGCAGCGCGTCGCCTTCAAAATGCGTCCCTCTGAAAACATCAAAGATAAAGTCTGAAAATCCAAATATTTGCCTTTTACATCAGGAAGCTAACAAATGAAAATGCCTAAAGTCGAGAATGAATTTAAAATACATTATTTTGCAGTTTACAGGACGCGACGGTTCGTGAGGAAACGCCTAACGTTCCTTATTAATTTTGTTTCTAGCCGGACGGGTGAATGTGCGACACCAATGCTGCCGCCGGTGACCAGTAGCTTCGCTTTAATGTAACGCGGCGCCGGGAGAGAAGAAGGTTGCATGTTTATATTTGTTTAATTAAAAACCATTTATTATTGTATTTAAGTACTTTTAGATCCACAAACGCTGCGTTATAAAGTAAAATAACATGTTGTGAACACTTTGGGCTGTAGGCGGCGCATCAGAGGAGCGCGACTTCTTTGGATTAACGTTCCCAGGTTCCCATTCGAGCTGGACATGTCTCCTTCACGGTCCATACTGCTGGTGGGAGAGGGGAACTTCTCGTTTTCGTCCGCGGTGTGTGGGTCGGAGAGTGGGAGCAGCGTCACGGCCACCTGTCCGCAGCGGCAGGAGGAGGCTCTGCGGCACGAGGGAGCAGCCGCCAACATCCGCAACATCAAGGACTCAGGTGAGGACATGTCCCTAGGCTGCAGCTGGACACTCTGTCTTATTCAATCATGATTGTTTCATGTTCTTGCTCGTTTGAAAGGAGGAGCTGTGCTGTTTGAGGTGGACTGCACGAAGCTGGGGGAGTGTCCCCTCTTGCAGGGCTGTGTGTTCGACCGGGTGGTGTTCAACTTCCCCCACTGTGGGAGGAAGAGTGGCGTGAAGAAGAACAGAGAGCTGCTCAGAAACTTCTTCCTCAGGTAGGAAGCTGCAGACATCACCTGTCCTTCCTTACATCCTTCATGCAGCTCTCTGTTCTTCTTCACGCCACTCTTCCTCCCA